AATTTATATATAAATTTATCAATTATTCAAAATCAATAAATAGCATTAATTGAAATAGAAATAAAGAACTACTTATGAGGTCGCCACTCTCATCATATAAAATCAGATTATATACATCAATGAGTAAGCACACAAAACATTTGAAATAAAAATGGTTTTGCTTTATAAACATTTGTTTCTTTTCGCCAAATTATTGTATTTGTTCTTCATTCTCACTTTACTGTTTATAAATACATTTATTGCGTTGGTTTGTCACCGAGTTGTATCCAAACAGAATTCCATAAGCAATTCCCTACTTAACGCCCAACCAAATGCTAAAATATCGCATAAATATTTACAAAAAGCAAAGTCGTGGGAAAAAACAATAACAAATTGGTCTTAGATATTTAAAAAATATATTGAAGTATGTGTATGTATGTATATTGTTTCTATTTGGATAATGCGTTCCACATTAAGTAGCCGCAGCACGTGACTCGAGTTCTGCATAAAAGCTGGGGGCATAAACAAATCCGGGAATCTACTTATGAAGGCATAAAACCTAACTATTTGGCTAGATCTGGGCTAGGAATTGCAACAAAACAAAAGTGTAAATATTTAAACAAAGAAATGAGCACAGCTAAAGAGTGAGACAGAGGTCGATGGAGAGGGAGATAGGGAGAGAGAGGCCGCATATCTTAACTAGAGACTGCATAATTTTGCTCGCAGCAGCGTGTGTGTAAATATTTTGAATTTTTGACTATTTGATTATTTGTTGTCCGGCGGATCAACTGTCTTAATAAACGTTGCGAGCTGCTGCGGCGCGGGACGGGGCGAGACGGCGGCATGGCAGGTGGCAGGGCGTGGCCCGAGGAAGCTGCAATTGTTTGCTTTTGCCTGTTGTTGTAGGTCAGTGTGCAAAAACAAATGCGCCGCAGCTCCAACTTGTATATAGAACGCCTCCTCGGGGGCGTGGTCGCGGCTGTGGCTGTGGAGGCGGCAAAGGAATCGTGTGTTTAGAGTGTGTTTAATTGTTAAATGTTTATTAAACTACAGCACGAGGCAAGTTTAAACAATGCTGGCCATGGCCGGCATTTGGTATTGTTTGGTATTCTTTTGCATTGCCCAGAGAGCAAGAGCAAGAGGGAGCGGGAGCGGGAGAGGTAGAGGGCGGGGGAGCAATGGAGTATGAATGAGAGAGAGGTAGAGCATCGCTGAATCAATGGGATCGCCGCTTTGTGTACTACAACTCAACTTGCTGCAGACGGCGGACGCGTCGTATACATAATTTTGTTTACAAACGTCCATAATAGTAAACAATTTGGCCATTTAATAACATTAACATTAAATTAAAAGCAAAACAAACGCCGTACAAGAAGCGAAAATATCAAGTGAGATGAATTGTATATGCTTATCTTTATTATGATTATTTGAACTTGAAACAAAAAAATACGAGATGTTGATGACGACTTTTGTTTGGGAATTCCCTGATGAAGCCTGTGGAAAAAAAATAGAGATAGAGATGGGGAAAGAGAGAGAGAGAGAGAGAGAGATAAATAGAGAGCAAAAAAAATTGCCAGCGGACCACACAAGATCCAGTGTGAGCTGTGTTGGCGGAACTGTTGAAAAAAAAAATATGACGCACTGTTTGGCTTTGCCCTGGAATCGATGGCTATAAATACAAGGCAAAAAAACATGTCAAAGAAATTTCGATCGGCCAGGCAGTGGGGGCTAAATGGCTAAACATTAAAAAAAAAAAAAGCTGAAAATCAAGGAAATGCGACAGGAAAACAGATGAAAATAAAGCAAAAAAAAAGAAAGGTCAAGAAATTTGTATACAAATGTATATATTTTTAACTCTTTAAATTGAAAAAAAACTGCTGTTGTGTTGTTGTTGTTGTTGTTGTTGTTGCTCTGATAAATTCCATTTGAAAAAAATATTTTGGTCAATGTCATTTAGTAAGAAAAACGATTTCTTTTAAATCTTCTCTCAAAAAAAGGCAATTAATTAATCGCCAGAGCCAGAGCCAGAGCCACAGCCACAGCCATAGGCAAAAAAAATTGGAATTGTATTGTTTCGGATGCCTGTTTAATTTATTCCTCACTCACAATAAATTCGTTTTTCTTGCTTTCTGGATGTGCAGCAACGAAAACAGCACGCAAAAACCGAAATAAAAAAAAATAATAATCAAACGTAAAAATAATTTATGGCCTGTCCGCAGAGACCAGCAGAAAAAAAAAAAACACATACATATGCATGTACATAAATATATATATATATGTAAATACATATATACAAAAAAATAAATGCTGTGTGGAAAAATGCTCCACAATTGCCCCCCAGAATGGTTGCCCTTGAAAAAAATGTTATTGTTGTTGCTTTTGCGGTTATTGTCTGCGAGTTCCGCGAAAAGTTCTCTGAAATGGCGAGTGCTTTGGCAAATTGTCTGCTTCTGATATATTTGCCAAATGAAATTAAAATATCTTTCAGGCCACGCAAAAGTCAAATAAAATTCCACAAAACAAAAGGAAGAAAATAATAAGAATTGATTATATA